CAACTCCCTGCTCATCCCCACACTTGACTCCACTTAGATCCCCCCATTCTGTCCCCAAAAGCCAGGGAGCCATCCCATGTTCTCAATCCCACAACCAACACCTGGTTGGCCCTCAGGTGAAAGAAGATATTGCTAAAAGCTACAAGAATATTCGAGTTTACCCCCAGACCCTCCCTCTCCAGGTCTGACCATTTCCATGTGTTATTTGTGCCCTTAACCAAAGCCAACTGCTTGGCTTCTTCTCTGCCTACAAAACTTTTTTTTTTTTTTTCACTGATTTTATGGCTACAAAAAATTTCTTTCCTGTCTTCACATTCACAGGAAAGAGAAAGCCCTGGCCCTGACTCAGAATTGGATTCTAGCTGGAGGCGTCCTCTCCGTGGCTGGCTCCAGGGAAAGGTCTGTTCGTTCCTTGACCTTGAGCAGGAGCTGAGGCAGCCAGAAAGAGGAGAGATAGGAGCTGGGAGGGGAAGGGGGAGAGAAGCTGGGACTGTGGCCCCAGGAGCCTGCACTCTGCCCCAGAGGCCCAGCCAGGTGATGGGAAATTAGAAGAAAGGAAGGAGACAGGCCATGCCGCAGGCATAGCCAGCCACAGAGGCCCTGAGGAAGGGGAAGCAGGCGGCCTCTTCTGCCTGGTCTTCTGAGGTCCCCAGGCTGTCCCCATCCCTCGTCTCCTTGGAAACTGAACAGACCAGAGAACCGGAAGGAGAAGTAAACCACGCAGATAGATAGACTTTGCCATCCACATGGGGGGCCAACTGTGGCTGTTACAGACCCAACACTAGGTGGGGGGCATCAGTCCAGGCAACCTGGCCTTGCCCACGGTGAGCCTACGGACTAAGGACAGTGGTACCTGCGGGCGCAAGAGATAAAGAAATAAGGAAAAGTGCCCTTCTCAGAAAGAGTCTCGTTCCTTCTGGTGCATGACTGAAATTTAAGAAAAACACGCATTGAGCACCTCCCGTTTGCCTAGATCCTTACTCTCAGTGATCTGACCATCTTTTCTCCAATTGAACTGGGGGCACACTTAAAGTAGGGGCTGTTTATTTCCTCCCAAATAACTTCATGTTTACTACAAAAGTAAGACATGCTTGTTATAGATATTGTAGAAAATACAGATAAGCTCAATACAGACAATAAGACCACTTTTAATCCTATAATTTAATGATGGTCACTTTTGACATTTGGAGGGCTTGCTTCCCCTCCTGGTCCTCCATATCCAGCATTTTCTCTTGGAGGCTTGCACCCAATGGACTTGTAAGAAGGACTTTATGTCTGACCATTTACCTGTTTGTTCATTACTCATTAATTCCCAGAGTGCTCACTGAACCCTCAGTAGGTCACAACTTGGTGGTGGTTTAAAATCTTTGGGGGTGGAAAGAGATGTGCAGAAGCCTAAGCTCATGTCGGTGTAACCCAGATAAAAGCCGAGGTTCCACGTAGCTCAGTCTCAGCGCTGCCTGACTTAATACTCCAGCAGTCGAAAGTAATTTAAATGAGTTTTCTGAACTCACTTGTTCCCCAAAGAACTTCAAAGGGGTCTAATTCACAACCCACGGCAACAGCTCTCAGCAGCCCTTTTATTCTCGCCCCAGTTCTCTCGATAGTAGCTCTGGAATTTTGCACAAACTCCTTAACACTCCTGATACCAACCTATAGGTTTTCAGTCACTCTGTGTTCTTTCTCTACTTTCTCAGATACTTATTACGATCTATACTCAATGGCCAAACCCTTCTCCATCCCTCCTGCTGACAGAGTGAGCGGTCAAGAGCCCGGATTCAGATCCAGATCCTGGCCCCATCGCTGACCAGCTGGATAACCATTGGCAAGCCACTTGATGCTGTGCAACCCAAAGTGTGGTCCACAAGCTGGTGCTGGCCCACACACTGTTTGTTGACATGATAAGAGAAGCATAGAAACCGATAATTTAGAAACATCCATAGCAGTTTGGCACTGCCTACATCCAATTGCGACTGTCTAGATTACAAAAGCATCACTTCCCACAGATTGGAAATTTTTTTTCTGAAAGTTCCTTCACCACAGATCGTTTGAGAAGCACAGACTTAACGTACTCTGTGCCTCAGTTTCCTCATAAGTAAAATGGGAATAATGGTGCCCCCTAAGCTCATCAGATCCCTGGGAAAAGTAAATGAAGTTAATCTATGGAAGGTTCTCAGGACCGTGGCTGGGCACTGCGAGCTCTCATTAAATGTCAAAGTCGCTATTATTTTTGCACATTTTCCATATTCTGCATTAAAAGCACCCTCTTTTCCTCTGAGGGCAGGGGAGGAAAGTGGATTCCGGTTAATGCATCCTACCTTAACTCCAGTTTCTAGACTTCTAGTCAACTCTTGAGATTGAAACCCCCCTGTGACTGCGTCCGGAACCTCCCAGGTTGCCAAAGGAAACACCAAGTGGTTTATTTATCCACTTACTAACTATCTGTAGACCACTTACAGAGTGTGAGGCAGGAGACCCCAGTGGCTAAGAACTCGGGAGCAAAACAGCCATGGGTTCAAATCCTGGCTCTGCTACTACTTCCTAGCTGAGTGACCTTGGGCAAGTCACATAACCTCTCTGAGCCACAGGGTTCCCATGTGAGGGCCCAGAGTGGTCCAAGGTCAGGACTCAGCCCCGACAGGCAATGCCCCCACACTTGTGGAGAGCATGACTCGGGGTTCACTGCATCTGAGCCCAACTGTGAAGACTAGGGTGACTTCCTAGGTTGGGTTGCCGCCCTCAGAGAGTTCCACAGATGAGGAAGAATAGGTGGTGTTTTGAGGTGCCAGACTCACCAGGTATTACTTCTAGAAAAATGGATGGATTTAAGGACTTTGAATATCTGAGAATGGAGGGATGTAGAAATATAAAGGGCTCAAGATGAGTCGACATCTCACCAATTGCACTTGTATTGTATGGAACATGGAGCTTGTGTAATGGCCCTTTCTAGAGCATGTGGGAGATTAAAGATGGCTGCAGGCTCTCTGTCATCCTCCCATCAAGACCTAGCTGGTGTTTTTTTCCCTCTCCCCTTGAATCCGGGCTGGCCCCAGGATTGGCTTTGAAGCCTCTGCATTCACCCTTCCTGGGATGCTCCTTCTTGGAAGCCATGTAAAAATCCACCATGCTGTGAGGAGGCCCTGGAGAGGGAGGGGGAGAGAGAGAGAGAGAGAGAGAGAGAGGGAGGGAGGGAGGGAGAGAAAAGAGAGGGGCCAGTGGGGGAGCACTGAGGTTCCAGACCTACAAAGTAAGACTTCTTGGACCTTCCAGCCCAGCTGGCGGCTAAATGCAACTGAGTAAATGCCACCCCACGCCCCATGCTTCTCTTGATATGGAGCTCTGTATATGCGGTAACGTTTTCTGGTCTCACACAGAGTTATAGACTGAATTGTGTCTCCCCAAAATTTGCATGTTGAAGTCCCAGCCATCAGTATCTCAGAATGTAACCATGTTTGGATATATCTTATAAGAGGTAATTACTTTGGGGGTTTTGTTTGTTTGTTTTTTGGCCGTGCCACACGGCTTTCAGGAGCTTAGCTCCCTGACCAAGGATTGAACCTGGGCCCCAGCAGTGAAAGTGCAGAGTCCTAACCACTGGACATCCAGGGAATTCCCAAGAGGTAATTAAGTTAAAATGAGGCCTTTAAGGTGGGCCCTAACCCACCAGTGTTCTTATAAGAAGAGGCACACACAGAAAGACACCAGACACGTGTGTGTGCACACAGAGAAAAGACCATGCGAGGACACAATGAGAAGAAAGCCGTCTACAAGCCCAGGAGAGAGGCCTCAGAAGAAACCAACCCTGCTGACACCTTACTCTTGGACTTCCAGCCTCCAGAACTGGGAGAAAGTAAATCTCTGCTGTTTAAGCCTCCTAGTCTGGTATTTGTTATGGCGGCCCTAGCAATTCATCCACACGCCTGATACTCAGGGGTGGAAGAGGGACAGGATAACCCGCAGACATGCTCCTTTAGAAGGGGGAGGGCTGGGAGGGAAGCCGAAGGCACTGTGCGTGGCGATCCTGAATCCCGCTGGGTGGACACTGTGGGGGTCACCTCCCCCCAGGTGAAGAAAACACTCTTCAATCTGTGCTCCCTCAGAACTGCTCCCAGCCCCCTGTTCCCTGTGGCCCCTGGGTCGCCCTCTGGGAGGACTTCCTTTCCCATCACCTCCTTGGCCACATCGATGGGGCTCATCAGCTTTCCTCCCTTTGGGGTCCAGGTGCTGTTTGAAGTCGTGAACGGTCACAGCCTCTTTTAGTCCAGACTGGCAGCTCTTTTGACAGTGTGACCATGTTCAGAACTTAGTTACCCTTTTCTCTATTTGTTGCCATTCAGCTTCTTATGCTGAAGATTTTTCTAGACTTGCCTCTCTAGACTTTATCACAGGTATCTTGAGCTCACCAGAGGGTTTTTTTTTTTTTTGCAGTACGCGGGCCTCTCACTGTTGCGGCCTCTCCCATTGCGGAGCGCAGGCTCCGGACGCGCAGACTCAGCGGCCATGGCTCACGGGCCCAGCCGCTCCGCGGCACGTGGGATCTTCCCGGACCGGGGCACGAACCCATGTCCCCTGCATCGGCAGGCAGATTCTCAATCACTGCGCCACCAGGGAAGCCCCTCACCAGAGGTTTTAACCAAGGGAGTGCTGGTCATATGCCTATGCAATCTTTACCCTGACACTGGGTCTTAACTAGACTCTATCACCCGAGGCATTTCTTTTTTTAAAAAAATTAATTTATTTATATTTATTTTTGGCTGCATTGGGTCTTCGTTGCTGCGCGCGGGCTCTCTCTATTTGCGGTGAGTGGGGGCTACTCTTCCTTGCGGTGTGCAGGCTTCTCATTGCGGTGGCTTCTCTTGTTGCGGAGCACGGGCTCTAGGCACGCGGACTGCAGTAGCTGTGGCACGTGGGCTCTAGAGCACAGGCTCAGTAGTTGTGGCGCACGGGCTTAGTTGCTCCGCGGCATGTAGGATCATCCCAGACCAGGGTTCGAACCTGTGTCCCCTGCGTTAGCAGGCGGATTCTTAACCACTGCACCACCAGGGACGTCCAGCAGGCAGATTCTTAGCCGCTGCGCCACCAGGGAAGCCCCGGCATTTCTTAGTTTTATTATTGCTTCATACGTCTAGAATATTCTTTATTGATTATTTGTGGATTACCCATTTTGCAGGTCTCTACATAAAGATTCAAATTTACAATTAGACTTCTCAGACAATACATTTCTGGGGACACAGACAGTTAAAATTTGAACTCATTATCTGCTCCAAGGTCACATCATGTATTCCAAACACCCATGTATTAGAACTTTTACTAAAATGTCATTTGTAACTCGAATTTGCGGAATCAGCTAACTGCCGGAGGGGCAGGACCTGGGTCTGTTGCGTCCACTTGTCATGCAAAGAGCAGGCTTTTCCCACAATGGGGCTGGGTTTTCTCTCTAGGTTTTCTGGAAGACAAACTGCTGGGGTGGGGGTGGGGAACGTCACCTTTTTCCACTGGGGATGAGGTGTTTACACCCAAGCTCAGTATCCTACAGGGGCCCCCTTCCCCTAATGGCATCTCTGCATCCTGCCGTGGGCTCCAGGCCTCTGGGCACCGGGCCCGTGGAGCTCCTGCTTCCTTTCTCTTTCACTGGCTAGAGATGAGAAATCGTTGCATTTTTCAACGCTGCAAACCCATAATTTCTGGGTTTTCCCTTTCCCTGTCTTTCCTGCTTGTAAGCAGGCTAATTCCTTTCAGAGGGCATCTCTCATGTGCTTGTGAAAGGCAGTGTATGAGTTTGCTAGGGCTGCTGTAACAAAGCACAACAGAACTTCATTTTCTCACAATTCTGGAGGCTGGTTCTCACAATCAAGGTGTCAGTGGGCTCGTTCCTTCTGAAGGCCCGGAAGGAAGGGTCTGTTCCAGGCCTCTCTCCTTGGTGTGTAGAGGGCCATATTCTCCCTGTCTTCACGTCGCCTTTCCTCTGTACACATTTGTATGCAAATCTCCTCTTCTTAGAAGGACACCAGTCATGTTGGATTAGGGCCCACCCTGAAGACTTCATTTTATCTTAATCACCTCTTTAAGGACCCTGTCTCCAAATACAGTCACATTCTGAGGTACTGGGGGTTAGGGCTTCAACATATGAATTGCGGGGACTTGATTCAGCCCATGACATGTAGCGAAAAGACATTCTAGACATTTCTGTTTCCCAAGCTCTTCAGCTAAAGCCACAAGCGCAGTATAGTATCAGCTTTGCAAGTTACTGTAGACAAGAATCTTCCCAAATGTTTCCCACTGTATAACATGGGTCACCATCTCTCCTACCCCCAATAACTGATTCCTTGTCACCTGTCACCTGTTACCTACTCTTAGAGCCAGTGCTACAAATTTTTGATGCTGCCAATTTCTGTATTGGTCAGATTTTGCTAGGTTATGCTACATAACAAGCATTCCCTAAATATAAGTACATTACCATAAGCAAGGTTTATCTTCATTCAGGTTTAATGCTGCCCACAGTTTGCTTGCCCCTCCGCTCCACCACTCTGCTTCACATGCTATCTTTATTTTGGGGTCCAGGCTGAAGATGCAGCCCCTATCTAGGACGTGTAAACCTGAGAGAAAAGAGCCAGAGAGCTGGCATAACCACGGGATAGATTTTCAGGCTTCTGCCAGGAACTGGCATGTGGTCACTTCTCACAGTTCATTGGTCAGAGCAATTCACATGGCCAAGCCTGCTGCCCGTGGGTGTGGAAGTATGCTCTGCCCATAGGGAGGCACGGTGAGTCGCTGACCCCAGGGCAGGGAGGTGTCACCTTCTTAGGGTCCAGAATCACTGGGAACAATGGCACCATTCACCACAAGAGTTAACACTGGTTAACATTTACCAGATGTGGGGCTTTGTGCCGGCAGCCTCACATCCTCAGCTCATTGACTCATCGTCATAGCCCCATTTTACAGATAAGAAAACTGAGGCCTTGAGAGACGAAGAGACTTGTTCACTGTCTAGTATGACAAACAAGATCTACGAACATGCCTTGAAAAAGCCCTAAGGGTCTACACGCATATGGGGTCTTACTCCTGTCACTTCTCTTCTCGGCAGCCGGGGTGAGAAAACACTTGGTGAGGAGGGGCTGGCTCAAGATATGGCCCATGGGGCACGCTCATGAATGTTGGCCGTGGCAATGTTCTCAGGGTGTCAGAAGAGCCCATTCCTTGGGGAGCCCACACCCCACCTTTTAGCTCAGCTCCACCTGGCTCACCCTGCCCTGCAAATCTAGGAATTCTGCCAGAGCCACTGAGGAGGGCAGGGGGCTTACAATAAACACAACTCTTGGGGGAAAGGGAGAGGAAGAGTCTTGCTCCATCCCAGGAGCCCGTGTGCTATGTGAGTCTGTGCGGATCGCCTGCTTGGACACACCTCTTCCTGCTCTCAATGTCTCTGGGAAGGTTGAGCATTTTCTGGTTCATTCGTTTTGTTTGTTCGCTTGTTTGTTTGTCTGTTGGGAGCAAATGAGGAGCTTAAACAATCTTAGGACCTTATTGTTCTTATCCTTGTTCTCCAGATGGGGAAACTGAGGCCCGAGAGGTAGAAGCAACTTCCCACAGCCAGTGGTGATGCTGACCTAAACCCCACCGAACATGAGGCCCACGTGGACCCGTGTTCAAAGAGACTGTGGGGTGGGGCCGGATGGGGAAGTAGTTAGGGAAGGGGGGGCCTCTTCGGCTTCCCAGGGTTGTCCTCGGGTCTTCCCAGGCCACCAGGTCAACAGGCTTGTCCTTCAGTAACAAGGAAGATGTAGGTGTGACAGTGATTCCCGGGGAGAGGGACAGAGTCCAGGGGCCCGAGATAATGGAGGGAGTGCCTGGCAGGGGGCAGAGGGCACAAAAGATGGTGTGAGGACACCCTGACATACATAGGACACACATGCACACATGCATACCACGCACCACGTTCACATACGCTGCACACACCATACATACTGCATTCACACCTCTTCACACACATACCACATGTAACACACCCCACACACACTCCATACTTAACACATGCCACACACACATCAAACATAACACCCTCACACGCACACCGTACATCACATACCACATACCACCCACAGCACACACACCACTGCAGACTTTTTCTTGGTTTTGACACCCAACTCAGAGGTGGTCTTTTTGTACTGCAGATTTTTGAAAACATCACGATTAGGAATAATAACAAAAATAGTAATGACAATAGCGGGCGTTCATTGAGAACTTGTTGCGGGTCAGGAGACTCGTGAAGGCTTCGCATGGACCCCTTCACGGAGGTCCCACCACCCCTGTGAAGCAGGTGCTGTCGGTGCCCCCATGGGGAAGTTGGGTACCACGACTGGGAAATTGAGGCTCGAGGATTTGGAGCTTGGAATGGATGGAGCTGTCACTGAACATGGGTCAGCCTGTCTCCAGAAGCCACACTGAATGTTTCCTTCGATGCACAAACAACAAAATCAAGAACAAAGGCCCCACCTCGCTGCACACAGAGCCTCTCCTGGCTGACTTAGGCTCTCTCCGTGGATGCAAGGTTTGGGGTCCCCCTCTGGTGGGCGGGGGCAGTTTGGAGGGGAGAGGGAGGCAGGGACGGGGGGCCACAGAAGGTGCTAAAGGCGGAGGAGAGGGAGATGGCTACTGCCACCCCCCGCCCCCCCGAGGGACACAGACCACTCCCCCTCCTCAGGGCAGGGAGGTGGGGAGGGGCCCTGCCGGAACAGCCCAGACTGGGTCCTCTCCGCACGGCTTCCACACCCCGGGGCCCCCAGGTGGCCGGGTGAGGGGTTTCCTTCCCCTGCGGGGTTGAGGGCTGGGACCCCAGGACCCTGCTTTCCCTGAAGCTACCTTCCCCACCCAGCCCTGGTCCTAGCAGGGCACCAACTAGCCTGTCCCTGGGGAAGGGGGGGGGGCTCCCCCAGACGCCCTTGTCCTCCCCGTGCACCCTCAGTACAGCGGCCCCTCCGATGCCAACAACGCTGCCTGCTGCGGAAGGCCAGCCCGTTCTCTGCAGCCCTGAGAGGGCAAGAGTGGACACAACCTCTGTGCCCATCCACCGGGGACTGGATCACCGCTCGCAGGGGCATGCGCACAAGGGGACACTATTCAGTCACGTGGAAGAGCGAGGTCGCCACACGTATAGACCTGGAAAGGAGACTGTAATGTGTAAAGGAAACTAAATTGCCAAACAGGATGTATAGCACTGCCCGACTTTTATCAAAAGAAGTATTTATATGGGCTTCTATTGACAGAAGAAACTGGAAGTCTTAATCTCTGGACGCTGGTTATCTAGGGAGTTGAATTGGGAGGTGTTGGGAGGGAGATGATTTTACTATTTTCTTTATACCTTCTGTGGTGTAACAATGAAGATGGCTCATTTTGCTAATTAAAAAAATCAGCAAATGGTGGTGGGGGGGCGGGGAATGGGGCATCCTGGGTGTCTGCAAAAGATACCAGAACTTACTTCCCAGCCTCAGTTCAGGCAAAGTGAGGGGGGTCCGTCCACAGGGCCGGGGTTCTTTTCTCCCCTCCAGATGGCTTTCTCTCCATCTGCCTCAGCAGGGGGACTACTGGGCACCTTTCAGCATCACTCCCCTAAGTTGGGACCAAGAGGCATTCTGAGACGAACCGCAGGGTCTTGGCCTAGAGACGTCTGGAATCTTCAGGGTGAGACAGGTGGGCACATACTCATAAAGCTAAAAGTCATCATCACAATGGCGGTGGGAGGGCACCTCCCAGTGCTCTGTGTTCTGCCCAGGGCTTCACATGCGTTAACTCTTCGAAATACGACCGTAATTCTGTGAGTTTTCTCATTTCGCCAGTGAGGAAACTGAGTCTCAGAAGGGAGCCCTAGGGAGCAGGCCCAGGGGGTTCTGTGCCCCAGCCTCTTCAAGGACAGAATCATCCAGCCACCAAGTCATTCCCCAAGAGACACCAGGCAAGAACAGGGAGTGCAGTGGACACAGGAAGGATGCTGGTGACAGAGCCACCTCCGCAATGCAGTGCGCGCATTGACATGGTCCTCATGGGAGGCACCATGGGCTCCAGCTGAAGGTCAGAGAGAAGGCCATGGCCAAGGTCACTGTGCTGGAAAGCATCACAGCTGGCTTTGGAGCCCTGGTTGGTCCATCTGATGGCAAAGACCTCCTTGCCCAGACCCCAGCTCAGTGTCCAGCGCCGATCAGAGCCCCGTGCTTGGTGCTGCATAGCGCTTGGCATCCAGCATATGCTTAACACCCAGTTAGCCTCCCTCCTTGCCCCTGATCCTGCCAGGGTGTGACCTTGGCCGTGTCATTCTCCGTTTCCAGGCCTCAGTTCCCTATCTGTGCAGGGAGGGGGTTGCCCCGGGGGTGTCGTAGCTCCCCTCGCAGCCTCAACATCCTAGACTTCCACTGCAGAAGCCAGGAAGAGTTGGTGGGGTCCCCCAGGGCTGGGGCAAATTTGGGGGCCAGGGCTCCTTTTTGGAGGGACCCAGCAGAGCCCCGCTGACAGCCCCCAGCACCCCCCAAAACAGCAGCCCCGGCCAAGCCTGGCTCCCCACCTCCATCCCTTGTCCCATTCCACCAGGCTTGGTCCTCCCCCCCACGCATCACACCGACACCCTTGCCTCTGACCGGGGCTGCCCCCCACACTGGCCGGTGCCCGAAGCGCCTTGAAAAATCTCTCTCTGGCATCCCTTCCCCAACACACAGCCCCAGCTGGCAGCGAGGTGAGCAGAGAGCAGAGAGGGAGGGTAGGCAGAGAGGGAGGGAAATGCAAATGTTTTTTATCCTCCTTTTCTTTTAAATGCTGAAACCCGCCTTGACAGCCTCTGAAAATAAATGGCACCGACTTGCTGGGATTTCAAATTCCGTGATTAAGGGCTGAAGCAAATACTTCTTCCCTCCCTCCCTCCTGCCTCCCCCGCCCTCCCTCCGTGGGCTGATAGAGCGGCTCGCGGGGCCGGGGACAGCTTTTTGCGAGCCTGCCAGGAGCTCTGATACGCAGCCTCCCGCCGCCGGCAGCGCTTCGGCTCCGGGGTGTTTATCAGGAGCGCTCACGCCGGCAGCCGCGGAAGCAGCTTTAAATCCCCTCCCGAGCCCGGCGGGCCCCCTCCTCGAGGCCGCACGCCGCTCACACAGGCACACACGCGAGCACACACACACACGTGCACGTGTGCACACATGCACAGTGTACACATACACGAGCACCCATGCACAAGCATGCGCACAAAGGCACACACATGCACGTGTGCACAACGCACCATACACATACTTGCACCTGTGCACACGTGCACCATACACACGTGCGCGTGTGCACACACGAACAGTATACACACGCACCCGTGCACACACACGTGCACAAAGGCACACACGCACGTATGCACACATGCGCACAGCACAATACACGCATGCACACACCTAGCCTGGGTGGGTCTCTGCCTGTTCTCTAACCAAAGCCTAGGAAGCCTGCAAAGTTGGGGGGATGAGAGGAAGAGGGGAAGGAGGAGGCTTGTGGAGAGTGGGGGGAGGGGCCAGGAGGAGAGAGGCCTCCTCCGGGTCCACAGTTTGCAGGGGCTGCCTTGGGGTGGCCTCGTGAGGAGGACAGCTTTGATGCAGCAACAAGCCAAGTGGCCTTTCTGATTAACTGCTTACTGCCCACCCCCGACCCCAGTGGCTCTCAACTGCCTGTCGCCCCCCTGGCCGCTCAGGTTCTGCCCCACTGCTGCCAGCTCCCCCCAGGCCCCCAGGTTTGGATTCTGGAAGAGGAGAGGCTTGCACAAGACAGGTCTTGTGGGGCGCAGGGCAGGGCGGCCCCACCAACCCCTGGGACCTCAACAGTGAGGGGGCTGCTGGGCCAGTCCCCCTTCTGTGGGTCTGAGAGCTGAGGCTCCGGGGCAGGGAGTCACCCACATGGAAAGCCGATGGTCTGGGTGGACAATCTGGTGGGTCTGGGGAGGGGTGGGGATGGGGTAAAAGAGAAAAGCAGAGAACCCTCCCCTGATTCTGCTAGGGCCACCCCTGCTCAGAGACGACAACTGCAGGGACTCTCCAGGCTCACTCTGCCGTCAGGACACTGTGGACGGATGGGTGAAGGCAGGTGTCCCCAGGGGCCAGCAACAGGGGGCTGCACTCCCTAGGGGGTCATTCATGGGGTGCTAACAACTGGCTGGGAAGCAAGGCCTCCCTGGGGGAACCCTCACCCCACACACCCTCCACACACCCTGGAGCTGGTGCCTCCCAGGAGAAGCCCCAAGCAGGAGATGGGGGTGAGGAGAAGCTGCTCCGGCTCCCCGGGTTCAGTTCTGCACTTGGTATGCACAGCTCATGGAATCCTCACTGTACACATACCCATTTTACAGATGGAGACAAGCTGAGGCTCAGGAAGGGGAAGTGGCTTGCATGTGGGGTCTTAATTCCCCGACCAGGGATCGAACCCACGCCCCCTGTAGAGCGCGGAGTCTTAACCAACAGACCACCAGGGAATTCCCCCCATTTGTTCTTTTTTAAAAAATAATTAATTAATTAATTTTGGACTCCGTTGGGTCTTCATTGCTGCACACGGGCTTTCTCTATTTGCAGTAGGCAGGGGCTACTCTTCGTTGTGGTGTGCGGGCTTCTCATTGCGGTGGCTTCTCTTGTCGCGGAGCACAGGCTCTAGAGCTCAGGCTCAGTAGTTGTGGTGCATGGGCTTAGTTTTTCCGTGGCATTTGGGATCTTCCTGGACCAGGGATCGAACCCGTATCCCTTGCACTGGCAGGCAGATTCTTAACCACTGCGCCACCAGGGAAGTACCCCCCCCCCCACGCCCATATGTTCTTTATGTGCAGAATTATTAGGCCGAACAAACAGTGCCGATATTCAACCGTTCTGACCTCCATTTTGTGCAGTTGAACTCAAGAGCTGCACGTCAGTTTAGTTCCTGGTCAATACAGCTGCAAAGCAAAGCAATGCCAAGTATGAATGGAACAGAGCTGTCCCTCCTTCAGCATTATAAGTTGCACAGGCTTCTCTGGTCCTGTCAGGGGTGGAAACTTCTGGTGACCTCCATCCGAGACAGGGACTCTGAAACCCAGAGAAGGGTGGTGACATTCTCAGAGCCACACAGCAGGGTGATTTTAGACCTGCCCTGGAGTTTCTCCCTCACACCTCCTAGCTATGGACGCTGAGACTCTGGGACTTGGAATGCCAGATCTCACAAATAAAATTGCAAGACACTCAGTTAAATTTGTAATTTGAATAAACAATGAATAATATTTTAGTGTATGTCCCATGCAAATACTTATAGTTAAAAATTATTTGCTGTTTATCTGAAATTCACATTTAATTGGGTGCCCTGTATTTTACCTGGCAACTCTATCTGGGAGCCTTCCTCTGAAAACAAGCTTTGAATTTGGGTGCTCTTCAAGCCAGAAACCCCAAAACAGACAGGAACAACATTGGTACCCCTTACATAGGGACTAGTCTGGATTGATGAAGTCTGGGATTTCAGGCTGAACTGGGCTCTCCCGGCTGCCCCTTGAGAAACTGGGAGCTGGGGACCACAGTCAGTCATGAGAGCCCAAGCTTCCACACAAACACTTAGGGTGAAATGACATGAAACAAAAGTTGAGACTTTCCAGAAAACTATCTGTGCAGCCTCCCAAACACACATTCCAATCCCCTTCCTTCTGACCTTCCTCTATACAGAGTCCAGAAAATTAAGATACTCAATTTCTCAGCTTCCCTTGCAGCTAGGGGTGGGCTTGTGACCCAATTCTGGCCAATGAGGTGAAGGCAGAAGATCCTGGGTAAGATTTCCCTTCCCGAGTTAAAAGGCAAAGATTTCAAGCAGTTCACCCTGCCCTCTTCTTCCTGCCTGGTATGTGGACGTGATGCCCAGAGGTGCAGCAGCCATTTTATGACCAGGAGGTGTTCCCAAGTGCCCCATTAGGGACTGGTGCCTGGTGCTCTGCTGCGGCAAACCTTTTTCAGGTCTAACTGTATAAGAGACAGTGTGAGGTCTCTAAATGCTCCTTTTGGGGGAGGAGTGTCCCTTTATTCTAAGATTATGTCCTTCACACCTTTTGGGTTTTCAAATGTAATTTATTTCAAGAATTGAAGTGATAGTTGATGACGGGATTTTTTGTCGTTGTTGTTGTTGGTTTTTTGCAGTACGCGGGCCTCTCACTGTTGCGGCCTCTCCCGTTGCGGAGCACAGGCTCCGGATGTGCAGGCTCAGCGGCCATGGCTCACGGGCCTAGCTGCTCCGTGGTATGTGGGATCTTCCCGGACCGGGGCATGAACCCGTGTCCCCTGCATCAGCAGGCGGACTCTCAACCACTGCGCCACCAGGGAAGCCCGATGACGGGATTTTTAATGTGTATGTTTCTTTGTTTTATTTTGTTTTGTTCCCGTTAACACCCTTCCCTAGAAAAATTTAAAATTGGCATCACTCTATCAGTCCTCCAAGATTTCTTTGGAAGTCGTATTGGTCTCTGAAACCCAAAAGCTTTGAGAATGTGCTCAAGAATCTCTCAACACACTCATATACCCAGGCCCAGCTGGGAGAAATAATGCAGGAGGGGTGGGCAGCTGCCCTTGCGAGGGGCCAGCAGCAGTTGGGGGGATGCTGGATGCCCAGGGGCCACTGTTCCAGATGCCTGCACTTTGGGCCCCAAGGCCTGGCACAGGGAGAACGTTCCTAGCCTGCTTTGTGCCTCCCATGGCCCCCTCGCCACTCCCTGGAGGCGTCCCCTGCGGAGTGGGAACAGTTTGTTACAGCTCCCCAGGAAGGTGGAGCCCCCAGCACACCGTGTTCCAGAGGCCAGTGAGGGCGTGTTCCGGGCTCGGGCCAGTGGACCGTGTGGGCACACCTGCTCCAAGGCCCAGTGACCTGGCAGGTCCCTGTTGGGGACAGCCACACTCAGCTGGAGGTCCAGCTCAGCAAACCTTGAGATGTCCAGGGATAACAGGAACTCATGGGAGAGTCCAGGCCCCCCCTAGGGGTCCTGCAAATGGTCTGGGAGACCCTGACAACCCACCTGTCGAGAGAGAGGGAGGACCCAGGAAAGAGCGGTGGCAGAAGCAGTGGGCTGGGAAATGGCTCAACCAGGGAGATGAAAGGTGAACACTGTGCTCCACTCACAGCATTCGAAACCCTGCAGCTCCCACAGCTCGGCCCTAATGAGAAGCGGGAAGAACTGCAGCAGACAGGGAAGGGAGACGCTCCAAGGGGATGGCAGGTCAGAGAGTTTAGCCAGGTAGATCTCTGCTCCCTGCCACCCTGGGGACCATCCTGCCCCACACAGACCCCCCCCCCGAAGAGCGTTTCCAAGCAACAGAGAGCAACCAGATTCCTGCGCTGCATTTGGGGTGCACTCTCTTACTAGTGTAGACTGGAGGGCATGTGAGAATTAGATCACGCGCGGGGAATGCACGGGCGCACCTGTGCGTCATGACCACGGTCCCAAGAGGTCTTGCTCTAACAGCCATGAAGACCCAGCACCCCCTGTGCCAACCCCCAGACATGAAAACACACAGCTGGGGCATAGCAGAGGGGCATGCGGTTCTCTTCCTAGGTCTGCGGCCAGGCTTCATCCACTGCAAGGACATCCAGTCTCATCCTCCCCGCAGCCCCAGCTCCAGGCCCAGCCTGCGTTTAACAAGGCCGTGAAGAGTGTCAGATAAGTGTCTAGTTGGCACCAGACAATGCTGAGTTCAAATCTCGACTGAGCTGAAAATTGCCTGGCTGGGTGACCTTGAGCACATAGCTTGCCCTCTCTGAACTCCAGTCCTTTCGGTGATGGGGAAGGTGATGTCCGCTCCCAACAGCTACCATCAGAGTTCATGTCTGTGCTGATAACAGGCTCTAGACTGCCACTTAGAGAAATGGCCTGATTCTGTCCAGAAATTTCC